ATCACTCAATTGTCTTTTGCTAACTTCTGAATTTTAAAAATTGAGTTTCCTTTAAATACCTGAAATCATATTTAAATTAAATTTAACAATACATAACTTTATAAGATTTTAATAACTGAAATAATGAGCAAAGTTTGAAATTTGAGATTTTTTTTTCTTAGAATAATTCACATTTTAAATTTCTCACAATTTAAATTGTGAGTTATAAATATAAACTGTGGTTTAAATTATACTTCTGAGGTTAGGAAGAATTCTATACTTAATAATTAAAAGTATTTGAATAGTCTTTACTGAAATGAATCAATATTAAAAACTGGATACTATGTGTGAAGATTTAATAAATGTCGACAGTCGCAGAAAAGTAAATATTTGGGTTTTCCAAATATTAACGAATTAATTAAATCAAGATTCCCAAACTAAATATAAGTATGTAAAAGTCAATTTCATATACCATATAAGAACATGAACAATGACAAAGAACAAAAGAACTAAAGAACAGTTTTTCCTGAGAACTTTTTTGAAGGTTGAAAAGCATCCCTTTCTCTTAATAGAAAAAAAGCTGATAGAAATAGTGTATTAGTTTCCTAGGGCTGCTCTAATAAATTACTTCAAATTACTTGGTGGCTTAAAACAATGGAAATTTATTCCCTCACAAGTCTGGAGGTTACAAGTCTGAAATTTAGATGTCGACATAGTTGGCTTCTTCTGGAAGTTCTTAGGGAGAATCTGTTCTATGCCTCTCTCCCACCTTCTGGTGGCTGCTAGCAACCCACAGTGTTCCTTGACTTTGTAGACGTATCACTCCAGTCTCTGACTCTGTCTTTATATGGTGTTCTCCCCTGTGTCTTCTATGTCTAAAATTCCCTCATTTTTATAAGGATACAAGTTATTAGATTAGGGTCCACCCTAATGTAGTATGACCTCATTTTAACTTGATTATATCTGCAAAGACACTATTTCAAATCAAGTCTTATTCACAGGTACTGGAGATTAGGATCTAAATATATCTTTTCAGGGGCCGTAATTCTACCCACTACTGATAATCAGTACTTTATAAACAATGAAGATTACAATATACTACACCAACAAAACAAAAATAAANGACTTGGCCAACCCCTGAAATCCTCTCTTCCCTCCTCAACTTTAGGCATTTTTCTAAAGTTCACTAATTCACTTCCATGATAACTGCCCCCTGTGGTGAATATATACAAATTCTACATCTCCAAACACAATGTCTCTTCTGGACTAACCTCAGGAATTTCCAAAAGCAGCAGCCACCATTCACAATCCCATCCCCGCAAAAATTGAAAATAATCTATTTTTTGTTTCTCCAATGATTTTTTAAATCATTTGTATTATTCTACAAATCTACAAAAATTTACTTATATTGAAAAGTTATTTTTGACAAGCTATTTCCCTCACATAGATTGATTTATGACACTTACAGTTTACTTTCCGAAAGGGTTAACTTGTCTTTAAGTAGCTGAATTTCTGTATCCTTCTCGTGGGAGGTTAAATGAGAATGAAATTCTTTATCTCTATTCGTAGCCAACAACAATTCAAGGTTTTTAATTGTATGTCTCTCACTTGCCAGTTGTTTTTTTAATAGCTCTGATTCTGATTTTACATTTTCTAATTCAGCCACTACCTACAGGAAAAACAAAATAAGATTACTTTGGTACAATTTTAAACTGACTCTGAAAAATTATCTACAGAGCTATACACACATCAGTTCCTCTATTTTGCGTATCAGTTAAAGATTTTGAACCACTTTTTTAAGAAAAACATCTTATTTTCAAAATAATCTTTGCTCTTTTTTGTAAGGGCTTATTTGGCTACGAGACCTACTCCAACCCTCAAGTAGTCTTTTCTCATACTACCTTATCAGGAGAGGGTCACTAACATAAAATCCTAAAATATGGCCACCCTATCAGCAAGGAGGCCCTACTGGTCTATTAAATCTGTGTCCTCTGACTACATAGCCAAGCCAGTATTAGAGCTTCTCAGTACCTGAAAATAAAGATACTATTAAATGAGTGAAAACTAAAAACACCTATGTTTGAAAGCATATGCTGCGTTGTTTGAAGTAATGTTTCAGTTTGGAAATGGAAAGTTCCAGCTAACAAGATTTTTAAAATTTAGTATGACTTAAAATACCTTGAGATTTTTATCAGAAAAAATATTCCACTTAGGAAGTACTGAACTGCTCAATCCTTCATTTAAGCCTTACCTTTAAACAGAGAAAGAATGTATTGGAATATGCTCCTATTTGATAATCAGAAGACTCATATTCTCCTAAACACTTTTCTGCTCCAAAACAAACACCACCTAATTTCATCACCAAGTTTGCCAAAGAAATCTTTGCAAAGAATCTAGCAGTCAAATTTAGTTGTCAAATCCTATAGTCAAAAATACTACTCCAAAGGGGAACAAATATGTTGGGTAGTGAATAATAAAGCAAAACAAATTAGAATAGGGCTCAATAAAACAATGTGCTACAACATCTTTTAAGTTCTTACCTTCTCAAATTCAAGGTTTTTGGAATTCAATTGTTGGGTCATAATGTCTTTGCCTGAATCAAGCTTAATACAAAGTTCTCTAAGAGATGACATATCACTGAATACTGCTGCTTTTTCATCTTCTTGATGTCTCAGCTCTTCTTCTAATCTAGATATGGCCTTTGTCATTGAGGAGATCTGAGATTCATAAGCATGATGTGCATTTATGTGCTAAAATTTAAAAAAAGAAACAGGTAAAAAGTTAAAGCAACCCAAGAATTATAAAGGCTTGATTTGTGCAGCTACAAACTCACTGTATAACAATATAAGAGCCAATTTTG